TTTGCCCTGGTAGGCAGACAGGATAATAATTCCTTTGAAGCATGGATTTCTCTCTGAAAACTAATTTTTGCCTCAAAAAGTTGAAGCCATTTTGCACTATCAGCCTTCGAACGTTTGGTGTTCATGTTTAGCTGACTGCTAAACCTCTGGGATTTAATTCCATCTTTAGATAAGTGTTTCCAAAAGGCCTAAACACTGTGCACAGAAGGTGACATCTGTGCATGCAAGGCGGAAGATGGGTATGCAAGCAGCTAGATCTGTGCAGGCACAAGGGCTTTGGAGGTGTACAGCTCCAGGTGGACATTATGTGACCTGAACTGCAAGCTAGAGCAAGTCGCTGTCGTTTGAAAACAAGAATCCCAGCCTATGCTGCGTTAGTCACACGGATGACACTGCTATAACTGCAAGAACTCAAGGGCTTTAGAAGCCTTTGGCTTGACAGCCACTCGCTATCCCACTGAGCTCCCCAAAGAACATGCTCGCTTCACCTGCACTGACTGGGGCGGGGGGAAGCATTTATACATCGCAGGGGAAAAAAAACAACCCCATGCATCAGAAGTTTTTCTAATGGACTAGTTTTACACATGTAGCCCAAGGGAATTGTTCATAATTAGACTGGGGGATCACTCTTCAAATGTCTACTGAATCTTCATTATATGCAAGACCTTCAAGACAAGAGCACAACAAGGCTTAAACTGATGGCAAAATAATGCAGAGGAACTGAAGAATTAAAGTAGGTACTTAATAGCACTCTAAAAAGATGCTGAGAGATGTTTTAGTGTCTGTTGGCAGCAATAGATAGGTTTAAGACATCTCATTCCTCCAGTTTATTTACTGGTTTGTAATTGTCTGGATATGGCCGCTGATTCTTCAGTAATTTAACTTGCTAAAAGCAGACTGGAAAAACAAACCTGCGCCACTGCTGAAGAGCCTGCAAAGTGGGTTGTATGAGCTGGGGACATGTTCTACAACATTCGGGACGGTCAGGATGAACAATTCAAGAGTCCCCTCTTTGGCCCCCTGTACTGACCCACTCCGAACACCGCATCGGACAGGACATCCATGGCCAGTCCACCACGACAGCTCCAGGGCAAGCCACTTACTGGACTTAGGAGTGAGGGGTTTCTGCAGCTGAGGTTAGCACAGGGGAAAGGAAGAAATGGTTGCCCAGCCCCCATAACATAATGAGAGGATGTGTTGGATGCTATCAGAAGTTCCTGCATCAAGCAAAATGTTTACTTTTCCAAAAGCTTTTAGAGAGTGGTATGTAGCAATTATGTGTAAATGAGTCTAGTAGAAAGATGGTTTTTCTCACGTACCGTATACAAACAGCATGTAATCCTCATATGATTTCCCCACCACGTTTGAAGCCTCACAGCGGTATGTACCATTATCTGTTTTGTTTAGGTTACTAATGAGAAGGTTTGTACCAGACAGTACAACGTGTTGAGGCATCTCATCATCTACTCTTAACCATCTCATGTCCGTAGGCCTAGGGAGGAAGGGGAGAAACAGTTGTATTACTAATTCTTACAGACAAGCCGGTCTTCTCAGCATTTCACCCACATACAAAAGTTACATGACAGCAGAAGACCTAAATCAAGAGACACGAGAAAGAAATAACACAAGATTCTTCCTCTGCTTAGTCCTGATCCACACGCCGCTGGAGTTAATCTACAATTGGACAATATACTCAGGGTGTCACTTTTTTGGTGTTGCTTTGAAACAGTTTCACACAAGCAGGAAAAAGCTCATTAATAGATAAGGATGTAATTAAGTAGGTGGGAACCCAAACCCAACTGCTTGAAGCCTATGCTAGAGAGGCTGTCCTGGTAGGCAGAGCAGCTCTGAGCTCTTGAACAACACTTGCTCAGGCACGTGAACCACATTAAGGGAACTGCTAAATTTCAGCGAGTTCAAAACCCTCCAAAAAAGGGCAGAGGGAATTAGTCCTTTTCCCTTTGGCAGCCCGTGTTCATGTCCTGCTGCTAATGGCACTCAAGTGAACGTCAGGTTTGCATAGCTCAGGGAACAGCATTAGTCGGGTACTGCAGAGCCAGACGAGGGAACTGTCGTTTCTCTAAGTCTCAAAATGGCAATAAGGTTTCCTGATGGATTTTCTTCTACCGTTTTTTTTTTGAGAGAGAGGCCCAAATCAAAATCTGGAATTGAGAAAACGTTCTGCAGCACACCATGTAAAAAATACACGATGCCTCTTAGACGACTACTGTCATGAAAACTTAAGAAGGTATTCCCACACAGCCCCCTTGCAAATAACCCACCCCTTAGCGAGCACCAGAATACGGTCTAAAAATACTCTGAATAGAAATGGGGCTGTAAACGCTTCTGATGCAAAAGGGGAGGGACGAGGCACACGGGCCTCATCCAGAGCCAGTGATGTAGCACGCTGCCTGACCGCTAGACAGCCCAAGCACAGGACTTTAAAAACCTTTAAACATGAGCATCTTTAAAATGGCATCTAAAAGCAAATCTGCATTCTCCTATTTTAGAAGCCATCGAGTTTGCTGCCACTACCCAATAAAATGACTTTAAAAAAATAGAATATCTAACTGCAAGTTCCCAATGCCTTTTTAGCTGCATGTAGTATCTTGAAATAAATATACAAGCAGTCTAGAAGGATTGAGATCTGCAGAGTAACAAGTTTCTGCCTACAGCCATGCCAGCATGACTAGAGAAAGAGCATCAGTGTAGATATAAACACTAATGAGATAAGTAAGAATATATGCAGCTACTGCCCCCCTGTTCGACAGCATCCTTCCTTCCCTCTAGAAACAAAACAGAGAGGCATGCAACTTACTCAAATATAGGCTTTTAATGAAAGCAGAGAGGCCTGGAGCTTTTTTTTTTTTTTTGTAGTTGGTTTTGCCTTTAGGGAGAGAGATGAGTCTGTAGCCTCTGATGTAACTGCCCTTTAACCTCACCAAACCAAACAAGCCCAACTCACAAAACCCCCAAAATGAACCAACCCCTCAAGCAAGCACAAAATGGAGTTGAAGGAAAGTCTGGGATTTCTTTGGCTAAAGCATCAGCTAAATCTTGGACAAAGGTAAGGATCTGAATGCAACTTTTGCTCGAACACATGCCCATCAGGCAGCCACATTCTTACTCTGTACCCAAGATGCAGGAGGAAATATGGACTAGGCTAGAGCTTGGCCTGATGATAGCACTAGCAGGAATTTTTGGACAAAACCTGGTTTGTCCCCGTCAGCAAATGCCCACTTCAAAACTTACTTTCAACCCGAGGCGAAACAAAACATTAGCAGAATCTTGAAGGTTCGACAAGCAGAAGTCCTGCATTTCTGACCAGTCCCGACTTCCACTCCTACCTAACCCTACCGTGTGCCTAGACTCCCTTGGGCCGCCTGCTCCAGTATCCCATCCGTGAAAAGGGCGCGCTGCTTCCTGCCTACCTCACTTCACTTCTGGAAGACCCAGCGGTTCCCAACACTTGGAAATCCTGGGATGCAGAGCGGAGCAAGAGTGTCTGTCCCTAAGACAGCTGAGCTCTGGGCATAAGATTTGTGGTGTGGCAGGATATTAGACGTGAATTTACAATACAAAATGGCAGCAAAAAGGCCACCACAGTACTCAGCTGCCTATACTTCCTGGCAGTGCACAAAGAGGTAAAACCCTCCAACTAGATGGCTCTAAGACCACAGCTGGAAAAGCCGATTCAGTTCTGGACCCGTTACCGAAGCCGTAGCCAGGCTGTACGGAGTGCGGAGGAAAGTACTGAACCTGAAGAAAACAAGGAGGTGAGGGGCAGGGCTTATCATAAATGATAGGCTGAGAGGCTCATTAGGGTGGGAGAACAAGTATTTGACCGAAACAGAAGAGTCATTATTGAAGAGAGGCTAGGGCTACAGGACTTAAATGAAAATGAACAGGGGAAAATTTAAACTTTGCTGTCTGAATTCATAGTCAGGGTGTCCAGACTGTGGAATAAGCTCCCTCCAGGGGTGGTGCAGTCACCTACCCTGGAAATCTTCAACAGGAGACTGGACGGTCCCCTCGCTGGGGTCACTTGACCCCAGTTGTCTTGTCCTGCCTAGTGCAGGGGGCTGGACCCGATGATCCACCAGGTCCTGCCAGCCCCTGACAGTCTATGAATGTTTGTCCTGTTGTATCATATACTAAATTGCAGCTAAGGATCCCAAAGGAAAAAAAAATCCCAACCATGTCTACACTGCAAACCCCTCCCAAAAATAAAATCAGGAAGAGTTGTGTGATAAAAGAAGACTATTTTGAACTCTTTTCTATTCAAAGTGATACAAGTTCCAGTTCACGGTCTCATAGTAGGGCTGACGTCCAGATCCACAAAGCATTTCCCTTTCATCCCTCCATGTTTTTATGGCTTAACTACTTTGCCTGCAGTCTCAGGCAGGTGATTTCTACAGCAAGAAGCTAAGGCATGCATGTGCCCCTTCTTCTGCACCGACACGAGCAGCGCTGGGCGACCCGGGGAGACCTGAACTTACTGTGGTTTTCCAAAAACGGAACAGGACAGTTCGAGGGGCTCCCCTTCTCTTGTTAGGCCTTGCACCGGGTAATTCTTCGAAACCCGCACTTCAGGCTTATCTGCGTGACCAAAAAAAAAGGATGTTTAATAAATGATCTCGTCAAACAGAATCAGATGCATCGACACCCCTAAATGAGGCAGTCATCAGTGCTGCGTCTTCCTTTTCCCCCACCATCCCATTCATCTGCTCGGTAAGTAAACCCAGGTTTTCTCAAATTAAATGGACTAATAACACCAAAATGTGTAACACACATAGATAAGAGATTCCTACTCCGAGCGCAGCCCCAACGCTTCCTGGGAAATGCATTTTGTAACAGTGAAGTTTATCTCCGAACTCACTCAAGCTAAAGGGAACTCATTTGCCTTCAAGCTGAGGTGAAACCAGAGATATTTGTGGTGCTCAGAATTGATACATTTTATCATGTATCATATATTACTGTATGACAATACTTTGTGCCACTGCATATTAATATATGTTGGGCTCTACTGGAAGCACTTCTGTTAGGGAAGACGGAGAGAAATCAAATGCCGCTGCCTTTGTTTGAACAAGGCAAGGTTTTAGCTAGTCCAAATGAAACTCTTGTAAATCCTAAAACAAACACAGGGGATTAAAGAGTTTATATCGAGGGAGGCAGCTCAGAAATCCTTTACAAAGGCCCTGTAGGAAAAAGGCCGGAGTCTACAATTAATAAGAAATGCACTGCCTTCAACTACCAAAATACAGATTAAAAACACAATTTCAACTGTAGCTAAAATGTTATCAGCATGAAAAAAAAATCAATTCAAAGCTACAAATGCCATTAAGCCATATATATTTTTTAGAAACTTACTCAACTGGAAGAAATAGGGGAAGGCAGGGGAAAAAAAAAAATCAGTATGCATAAAGGTCGAAACACTTTAGACGTTTTTATTTCCTTCGAGAGTCACTACTGCTGAAACTATTGGCTTGTTGCGTTTTATTAACAGTGTTTAACTCATTAACATGCTTCCTATGGAATAATGGAGATAAAAAAATCCATGGCTGGGTTTAACCAATTTAAACCCTCATAATTTTCAGCAATGGAATAAACTACACCAGTAAATCCTCTCCTGGGATAGCTACACCACAAATGCATTTAATAAACTAATCCCAATCACCGATCCCTCTAGCAGCTATGAAACCACAAGGCATGACGCCAGGGTTTAAAAAAATGGCATCCATATGCTGGTTTACCAGGTCACGATGCACAACTGTAACTTTTTAAAGACACAAAATCATACTACACTGGAAAATATAAAACTTAACATGCTTGAAAACACCAGCTGACCTTCCGAGCAATACGGTTTAATGTTTGTGAGCTGCAAAAGAAATATCCAAGAGTAACTCTTGCAAGCGTTCCAGATACGACCTGAAAAAAGTCAGCCAATCCTGAACAACCAGGACAGTCAATCCTGTGTGCGGTTTTGGGCCCCCCACTGCAGAAAGGATGTGGACAAGTTGGAGAGAGTCCGGCGGATGGCAATGAAAATGGCTGTGGGGCGGGGGGACAGGACTGGTGAGGAGAGGCTGATGGAAATGGGCTGACTGAGTCTGCAGAAGAGAAGACCGAGGAGGATTGAATAGCAGCCTTCCCCTCCCTGCAGGGGGGCTGCAAAGAGGATGGAGCTGGGCTGTTCTCAGCGGGGGCAGATGACAGGACAAGGAACAATGGGCTCAAGCTGCAGCAAGGGAAGTTAAGGTTGGATATTAGGAAAAACTCTCACTAGGAGGGTGGTGAAGCACTGGGACAGGTTACCCAGAGAGGTGGTGGCATCTCCATCCTTGGAGGTTTTTAAGACCCGGCTAGACAAAGCCCTGGCTGGGATGATGTAGTTGGGGCTGGTCCTGCTTGGAGCAGGGGTTGGGCTAGATGTGACCTCCTGAGGTCCCTTTAACCCTCACTGTCTTTGATTGTGTGCTAGCCAGAAGTATGATGTTAGGATCTGGCTCATGGCTCAACTCTGCCTCATAATACTAGAGCCTTCCCAGTGTGGATAGGAACAGGCATCTAGTCTGAGTTAGATACTCGTCGGCATGGATTCCCCTTACATGGGAAGGCAAAATAAGGTCCAAGTCTGAGAGTGGCAACCTAGCTTTGCAATGTACTGTGGTACGAACATGCAAAACAGACCGAGGAAAGGCAAAAGCAATATTGGGATACACAACTGAACTTTCTGTGCTCTGCTTTGCAACCCAAGTAGTCCTTCAGAGCCCTAGCAGCTTGGAAAGCTTAGCAATGCTTCGGTGTGGGGGAAAGCATTAAACTACGCCCAATGCTGTAAGCAAGCCAAGAGTTGCTTCTGTCAGGCTTATATTTTTCCTACCGTGGTCAAGCTAAATCTGTCCCCAGTCAAAAACTGTTTTTTCTTTGCGCTATCCGCTTATTAGTCTTTGTTTTGTGGCAATACAGAGGAACCACAGTCAGATGTCAGAGCCCCGCTATGCTGGATACACACACACACGAGCATGAAGGATGATGCCTGGCCAACACCCGGTACCAAGCAAGTTGCACACAAAACAAATTGTGCTGCTGTCTGCTTCTTTGCTGCACCACTTTGGTTGTCATTAGATAATTTTTCAGTGTTTCTAATGAGTTGTTTACCATCTGCCAATTATATATGCAAATCAATGGGAACATCGAAGAGATCTGCCATCTCAGGGATGAAGTATATGCTACTGACTGTTTCACTTCAAAATTATGTAAAGCAGGACTCTCCCCCCCCATGTACTCTTCATTAACAAAAACAAAGCCAAGTTACTCCTGTTCTACTTTCCTATTACACATTGTCCTCCCAGAAATGACGTACTTACTATAAAACCTTTGCCTGCCTCTCCAAGGGCTGGTGCTCCGGGTTTTATTAATACAACATAAATACACGCATGGGGAAGGAACCTTTTGGCAGAAATCTCACAGTGGAACGTCTCACTAAGTTGGATTTCCCAAAAACTGATGATTATGGAAGACCTTTATGAAATTAAAAAGTACTTCAAAGTTAGGATGGGACTGAAAGGCCAACTGGATGCTCAGAAGGCCTGACATTTTAATAAGGCTGTAATGCAGTAATTTCCCCTTAAAGTGAAAATGTTCCCTCCTTGAGGTAAGGATTTTCTTTCTTCTTCTCCCTAGGGAGAGGTATTTTAGGGTGGTTTGGTTGGTGAGACCTTTGGCTCATGGGTTTGCTCAATGCCTGGCACTGGGGGGACCAAGCACAACTGGGGGGTTCCTAGATGTTTTAAGAAGCAGCTTGAGGTTGGTTCAATTGTTAGGGCAGCTTTGAATATCTGCCACAACGATTTATTGGTTATTCAATATTTTATTTTAAATGGCTACATTTCAAGACTCGCTTAATTAACAAGACCTGTGGAACTAGCCTCCGAGGCAGTTCCTGCGTACCGCAGATAGCACGGTAAGGCACGAGGCCAACAGTGAACAGACTTTTGCTACTCCGTGCCATCTAACCACGCTGAGATCGAAACTGGGAGCCTCTTTATGTCATTATATGGCAGGATTTTTACATAAAAACAAAGCAATTCTATGCATCTTGACCACGGTATTACGCCATTGATAGTCAATTAGATCTAGCAATCTGAAGCTACTTCCTAATGCACTTATTGCTAGCGGGTGTTTTTTTGTTTGTTTTTTTTAAAGAACAGTCCACTAATTTAATAAGGCCCCTTTATTAAGCTAAATTAATTCAAAAGCTAAAGCAATATACAAGGTTTAAATACCAGCCGTCTAAAGGTCACACAGCAGCAGCAACCAATTTGAAAAACTTATTACAAAACCATTTTGGATTTTATGAGATTTCTTTAAAAAATGCACATTTCTTGCCAGAAAAAGTAGAAGAAAAGCTGCTTTTAAAAGAAGTGAGGCCAAAGCTGGCTCTTTCCCCTTGTTGACTGATTACAGTTTAAACGTGCTGGACCCGGCGTGACACTGCATGATCTTTGAGTCAGGAGGTGAAAAATCACAAGGTGTGTCCCCCACCCCCTCAGCCTCCAAACTTAGGTTTTTAACTTCATGAGCAACCAAAAAGCTAAAGATTCCTCCAACTAGATCGTCACGATGAAGCTATAATGCCCCCACTCTCAGGAGTGCTTCCTTGCTGGCACAGGGGTGCGCTTGGCTTGGTCTCGGCCTGCAGGTGCCAATATCCACCTTCGATCTCAAAGCATACCAAGAGGACCCAAGCATCGGTCTTCACCTCCTGGCTGCACAGGGCACGCTGCCCATCGCTGGAGGTCAACGCCAAGCCTGCAGCATCCAAGCCAGTGAGGATGTCCCTGCACGGTCGTGGCTGGCCTGCCTGGCCACATACCCCCGTGCAGTCTGTAGTGCTTGTGATATGTGCACTCGAGCCCTAAGGCTGGCCCCAATTCTCTGTGCCATTACACAGAACCATGCTGTTTCCTGTCTTGTCAACACTTGGGTTTTTTATAAAACTAACCCAAATGCTTTCCCTTTCCAAAGAGCCTAAGTCACCTATCACACCGCTTCCAGAGCCTCTCTGTCAGAAGAGACCTTAAAAAGTTAATATTTATTTGTAGTCTTTAAGGGCAGGAGTGACCGCTACATCATCTAGTCTGACCTCCACTGCAGCCGAAGCCAAACAGGTTTCACCTTACTGAGTTCAACAGTCTGTGTTTGATTATCATAGGAAATGAGGGTTGAAGGGACTTCAGGAGGGCACATCTAGTCCAACCTCTGCTCTAAGCAGAACCAGCCCCAACTACATCCCAGCCAAGACTTTGTCTAGCCAGGTTTTGAAAACCTGCAAGGATGGAGATTGCACCACGTCTCTGGGTAACCTTCCAGTGCTTTACTACCCTCCTAGTGAGACCGTTTTTCCTACTATCCAACCTCAACTTCCCTTGCTGCAACGTGAGCCCATTGCTCCTTGTCCTGCCATCTGCCCCCACTGAGACTAGCCCAGCTCCATCCTCCTTGCAACCCCCTGCAGGGAGGTGAAGGCTGCTATCCAACCCCCCTTGGTCTTCCCTTCTCCAAACTACGTCATCCCAGTTCCCTCAGCCTCTCCT